ATTCTTTCGTGTCTTATTCTCGCTCGTGTCGCGTACGCAGTAGGCTTACTCGTCTCAAATTCGGTCCGAATTGTCTCGCCATACGATCGCATTCATATTCTCGCGGCGGTCAATTCGGTCATATCTCAAACTGTATTCTTCAAATCAGTTAGTGCTAAGACATTGTGAATGTTAATTCTGGGGAGTCCGAGAGTCGACGCTCGTTAATCGCATCGCGAATGTCCTCTGCCTCGCGCCAACTTCCATCCGGTGTTCGCGTGCAAGATTTCCGCTCCCGCGAGAGTTTTTAGCAAGAAGCTCTTCATCAAGATTTCCGAATCGCGAAAAGGGGCAATGATTCGCGCTACATATTGCTTCTCGCTCATCTCTGTGCGTCTCTCTCTCAGTTTCGGACGATCTCGTCGAGGTCGACTCCCGAACATATTGGTCCTTCGAGCCGGATAGGAGCGTGTGTGAAGGATAAGTTCGCGAGTGTGTGATATTTCGATACATCTACGATGTCGGAACATTTCGTACATCAGCAGCAGTTACAGCGTTTGATCGAACGCTACCTAGAAAACTTCAAAAAAATCGGCAGGAGCAATCTAACTCCGGCTAAGGTGTGCTCGAGAATTTCAATGCTTAAGGAAGGCTGGAGTCAATTCTCCAACGGACATACAGAGTTGTCGTTAAGGATCCCGGAAGCAAACCGGACATCCTTTATCTATTTCAAGGACAATCATTTCGACTTGACTTCCGCAGCTTATCAAACTGCAATGGACCACATGGCGGAGGTCCTGGAGGAAATGGAACCGGTCGTGAGTCCAAACCCATCTCTGTCCTCAACAAGGCTGCCCGCGGAAGCGTCCGCGTTTTCTTTATCGCATCTTCCCCCCATCAAATTGCCTCCGTTCGACGGCAATTACGACGAATGGGAACAATTTCGCGATCGATTTACGACACTAATTCGTGAAAATTCGGATCTAAATAATTTCGCTCGCATGCACTTTTTATCATCGTGCCTTAAGGGTAGCGCGCTGAAATGTATACCGAATATTTCTATAACGGCCGCGAATTTTGAAATAGCGTGGAAAGCGTTAACCTCACGGTACGACGACAAAAAGCGGTCGATAAACAAACATCTCTCGACATTGCTCGGCTTATCATCTATCCCGCGCGAATCTGCCACCGAGATGCAGACTTTATACGACAAAGCTAATATCGCAATGGCTTCATTAAAAGCCCTCGATCGAAAACCGGAGGAACTCTGGGAAGATATTGGCGTTCATATCTTTGTGCAAAAATTAGATCCGTTAACGCGAAAAGCGTGGGAAATAAGCATAAGCAATACAGATGTTCCGCCATCTTACGAGACTTTAAGCGACTTTATTAAGTCTCGCATTAGGAGCAAATACACATGTCGAGTTTGTCATAAAAAGCATCATTCGATGCTACACGTTGACTCGGATTCGGGCTCAAATTCCTCGAAGACTATTATGCCGAATTGCTCGTCGCCTCAACCGTCCGGTTTGACACCGGAAATAAATTCTCTGATCGCCTCAACGAGAAAGTGATCACCCGTCTTATTAGCGACGGCCTGGGTAACGGTGCGCAGTCCGTCGGGCCGCACCGCTGTCGTTCGAGCTCTCCTCGATCAGGGCTCGGAAATGACATTAATTTCGGAAAGTTTAGCGCAAATCTTGCGTTTAAAACGAATTCGCATGCCGATCTCCGTTTCCGCCGTCGGCGGGATAAACGCGGGGACTTTTCAACATGCAACACACATATTTATTTCTCATCGAGAATCTCTTGCTCCGTCGCTCTCAACCACCGCGCTCATTTTAATATCGCTAACCTCTTACACTCCGAGAAGACACGTGGATCTCTCGTCACTTTCTTATATCTCCGATTTACCGCGAGCTGATTCGGATCCGACGAGTTCCGATCCTATAAATCTCATAATCGGAGCCGATCTCTATAGCGATATCATTCGCGACGGTATTCGCAGAGGAAGCGTCGGGCAACCCTTCGCTCAGAATTCCATTTTCGGATGGATAATATCGGGACCCCTCACGTCGCTCGAGAGTAACGATTCCTCTCAGTCGACAATGACTTCCGTTCATTGCACTCGCGGTAGCATTTCCGCTCATCACATTACTTTTCGGAGCTGACGATACCATTCGAATTCGGCAAGCGCGCGATCAATTAAACTCTATGTTAAAGCGCGGCGGATTCGTATTACGGAAATGGGCGAGCAACTCGCCCTCTCTTCTCGAGGACATCGAAATCGCAGATCACGGTCTAGCCACGAACAAACCTCTGTCTGAAGAGGAACAAATCAAAATCCTCGGAATCGGGTGGAATCCGAAAAACGATATTTTCGAGTTTCGCGTGTCGCTGGCTGATAATGCCCCAAAAACAAAGCATACGATCTTGTCCGCAATCGCCAAATTCTACGATCCGCTCGGATGGGTCACTCCGGTTACGATTACCGCAAAAATATTTATGCAGCAACTCTGGCGACTTAAAAGCGATTGGGATGATGTTATTTCCGAGCCACACATAGCCAAATGGAGAGAAATTTACTCTCGGCTCTCGCATCTCAGTAATTCGCGAATCACGCGCTGGGTCGGTCTCGGATCGAACACAAATCACGCCGAAATACATGGATTTGCTGACGCATCGACACATGCATATGCCGCATGTGTTTATATCAAAATCATTTCGTCATCAGGTCAAATCACGACAACTTTGCTCGTCGGTAAATCAAAGGTTGCGCCGTTAAAATCTCTGAGCATACCACGACTCGAATTATCCGCAGCATTATTACTCGCACGACTTGTCGAGTTCGTTCGCGGGTCGAACGGTTACAAGGATATTCCGTGCCATTGCTGGACAGATTCCACGATCGTGCTCGCGTGGTTAAGTCAACCTCCTTCGCGATGGAAAACTTTTGTCGCCAATCGCGTTAATGACATTCAGACTCGTCTTCCAGACGTCGAATGGCGGCATGTGCCAACGGAGGACAACCCCGCGGATTGCGCTTCGCGCGGAGTATTTGGCGATGAAATTATCAATCGCGAGCTATGGTGGCATGGTCCTCCATGGCTGTTCTTCGATTCCGATAAATGGCCGTGTAACAATGAGCGTCTTCCCGAGGAAACGCCTCTTGAAGAAAAAATTAATTCGCTGCAATGCTCTCAACCTTACGTTACGTGGAACCTCGTTTCAAGATATTCATCGTGGCCAAAATTAATTCGCGTCACCGCGTATCTCATCAAATTCATAAGCTCATGTGATCGTAATCGCTCGTCGTCGTTCTCGCTTCTGTGGTCTCACTATCCAGCATCGAGAAGCATCGCGCTTTCTGCATCCGACAGCAATACTGCCAGAATTTTCTGGATAAAGAAAATTCAAGCCGACGTATTTCCGACGAAGATACACGAGCTGTCAAAAAATCAGAGCCTCTCGTCGAGAAGCTCACTTCTCTCACTTCGACCGTTCCTCGATCGGGACGGAATTCTACGCGTGGGTGGACGGCTTAACAAAGCCCCATTGCCAATGCCGGTTTGACATCCGATTCTTCTCTCATCTCATCCTCTCGTGACATTAATTGTGAATCAAACTCATTTACGAGCGTTACATGCCGGACCGCAACTCATGCTAAATGCTCTGCGCCGCGATTTCTGGATACTTCGCGCTCGTAACATAGTAAAATCTGCCATTCATAAATGTGTTGTGTGTACTCTGGATACTTCGCGCTCGTAACATAGTAAAATCTGCCATTCATAAATGTGTTGTGTGTACTCGCGAACGAGCCGCGATTCCCACACAAATCATGGGAGATCTTCCCGAACCTCGCGTCACAGCGACAGTACGCTGTTTTTTACATTGCGGTCTAGATTATGCAGGCCCCGTGCAAATAAGGGCCTCCGCGGGACGAGGCATTACGTCACGGAAAGCATATATCGCGCTCTTCAACTGCTTAGCGACGAAAGCAATACATTTGGAGTTAGTAAGCGACTACTCCACTCAAGCTTTCTTAAATGCTTACTCTCGATTTTGCGCTCGCCGCGGTCTACCACAATCAATGTATTCGGACAACGGGACAACATTCGTCGGAGCGGACCGAGAACTGACCGTCGCGTACCGGTCAGCAGTACGAAATCCGAATTTCTTGAACCTGACGGCCTCCGATAAAGTATCGTGGAATTTTATTCCCCCTTCTGCCCCGCACTTCGGCGGATTGTGGGAGGCGGGCGTACGGAGCGTCAAAACACATCTACGCCGAGTGTTAAGGAATCATATGCTAACATTCGAAGAATTCTCGACGTTATTATGCAAAATCGAGGAACCATCACTGCTCGATCTCAACGAAAATCGTCTTTCGAGGTGGCAACTAGTCCGACATGTCACTGAACGGTTTTGGAAATTATGGAGTAACGACTATGTAAATACTTTACAACAAAGAGCAAAATGGCGAAAGGTCAAACCACCGATTAAACCCGGGCAATTTCTTCTATTGCGTAATCCGCTGTTACTCCCCTGCAAGTGGGAGTTTGGCCGAGTGACGCGTTGTCACCCCGGCTCCGACGGATTCGCACGGGTCGTCACCGTAAAGACGGCCACATCCGAATTCAAAAGACCGATTGTCAAACTGTGCGTACTACCGGTCAATAATGAGGCGACGAGCAATTAGACTCCTTCGCCGCGTTGCGTTTCATTACTGTACATTATTAGATTAAGATCAAAATTGTCAAGATGCGAGCGTCATTCCGCCAAGGCGGGCGGCAAATTCAGCGCGTCAAACCACGTCGCGTAACTTGTCGTCTTTCGCTCATGTATCTCATGTTACTTGTGGCGTGCGCTCTTGTCGTTTACTGCAATTGTTATCTCGATTATTTTGGAAATCGTTTCAATGCGGGCGGTATGTTCAAAATTGAATCATTAAACATTCGTTTCTAAATTTCGCCGTTATATTAAAACGATTGCCTCAGAAAATAAAACACGAGCAAGAACAAACAGTGTCGCGGTCACCCGCTCGGTGCGTGATCGCATTCTTGTTAGAATGACAAAACTGTGACAAACATCTGGTTCGAGAAGGTTCGAAATCAGAAAAACTTGTTATTCAGATCGGCAGAGCGCGAGTTTCCGCGGTCGGTCGATTTAGTCTGCCTACGACAACGATTCGAGCTGGTCGATAGCAATCGATCATAGTTTCGAATATCATCATTTCTCGTATGATATTCTTTCGTGTCTTATTCTCGCTCGTGTCGCGTACGCAGTAGGCTTACTCGTCTCAAAATCGGTCCGAATTGTCTCGCATACAATCGCATTCATATTTTCGCGGCGGTCAATTCGGTCATATCTCAAACTTTATTCTTCAAATCCGTTAGTGCTAAGACATTGTGAATGTTAATTCTGGGGAGTCCGAGAGTCGACGCTCGTTAATCGCATCGCGAATGTCCTCTGCCTCGCGCCAAATTCCATCCGGTGTTCGCGTGCAAGATTTCCGCTCTCGCGAGAGTTTCTAGCAAGAAGCTTTTCATCAAGATTTCCGAATCGCGAAAAGGGGCAATCATTAACAAGACATTTTGAAGATATCCGTCGGATTCGCGGAATATGTGCCGTCGCTCGCTCCTATTATTCTAAATAAAACGAATAGTTAAAACAATCTGCACTCGACTCTTTTCTCAATCTCCTTATCCTCTAGCGGATCTACGGATTCGCGCTACATCTACATATTGCTTCTTGCTCATCTCTGAGCGTCTCTCTCTCAGTTTCGGACGATCTCGTCGAGGTCGACTCCCGAACACAAGTGTTTCAAAAGTGGTTTCAAAAGTGGTTCAGAACCTGCTTTTGGCATGTTTTCCAAATTAGATCCGTAACCTAGCCGTGCCGGTATTTTTAACAAATTTATGTGTATATATGAATATTTTAATCACCTTGTGAAAAGCATTCTGGGTCATCTATACCAAATTCTTGGAAAGCCTTCACGAAGTTAGATCCATTATCCGTAACTGTACCTATAATTTTGTCACATGTTAATCCAAATGTTGTATGGATTCCTTCTAACATCTCCGCAATATTGTTAAACGAATGAGTTCCGGGAAATCGCCTGCATGCTAAAGCTGCCGATCTCCTTTCTAGAGTTTTCTCGTCGATCTGATAATTAATATTATAAGTTTTTATAAACAATCGTATAGAAATCTATTAATTATTATCAAGCGACGCGGTAGCGTCGCGACGTCAAATATATATAAAAATTCGTTCCAGCTTGTCAACGGTTTGCCTATGTACAGGAGCCGCGACGCTACCAGGTAGCTTATCCGGAGTTTTACGTCTAATAAACTTTCGATTAAAATTCCTCAGGAACCAAGCCGTTAATCAAAAATCTAACGGCACTTTTCTTATACAATGTGGATGCAAGCTTTTGATTGCGATCAGTTTGAATAAGATTGGTGCAGTCAATCCTGAGGAATGATAATCGTATACCAGAAATTTGACATTTTTCGTTTTCCATCATCATCATAAGGTTCAGTTTCAGACTCACGTACGTATGCTCGCACGCACACACGTAAAACGATTTTGTCCCTCAAGGCGCGTTTGCAGCGCTCATGTACGATTATTCGCTTGAGTGTGCAAATATACCTTGAGAGACAATGTGTATGTGCGTGCATACGCATATGATACGCAGTGATGCCAGAATGCCCACGCTAGCAACACAAGATATAATAACGTTATAAGGTTAATGTTCCCGACGTCAAGATATAATAACATTAAAAAATTAATGTTATATATGAATCTGTTGCAGAAAATATATTTAGTACTATATTGAATGAGTATATTGAAATTTTGAATATATAGGGTGTCCCAGATCATTTGGGATAATACTCGTGTGCAGATAGAGCGGACCAAACTGAGTCGAAAAGTCCTCTATCATTTTTTTTATAACGCTTAATAAAGGAGTTATTATTGAGTTAAGTCTGGCCAATCAGCGCCGATCTTTAGCCGGGCGCACGTCGGTGAGCCGCGCGCCGTGAAGTATGCGCTGTCGCATACTACCAGGCGCGCGGCTCACCAACGTGCGCCCGGCTAAAGATCGGCGCTGATTGGCCAGACTTAACTCAATAATAACTCCTTTATTAAGCGTTATAAAAAAAAATGATAGAGGACTTTTCGACTCAGTTTGGTCCGCTCTATCTGCACACGAGTATTGTCCCAAATGATCTGGGACACCCTGTATAATATAATGTGTATGTTAACTATCAACTGTCACTCTTACCGGATTCTTTGCATTTTCGTAACACTGATTTTTTAATTCATCTAGTATTGTTTTCAGATGTATATGTTGCTCAGGAATAGGTGCTTTAGATTTTTCTGGTTCAACCAATTTTGCAGGAACAGCAGGCATCGCAGGTAATAATGGTTCAACTGGTTTGTTAACTGGCGCAGTATTCGACATGCTTTGACCATATTGCACATTATAAGGTGAGTGATGTTCTTGATAGAAATTATCTTGTGGTATTGGCTAAAGCAGTTGAATAAAAAAGCAGTTTGTTAAAACATAATCGTACAAGTATATTTAAAAAAAATATGACTATCAAAAAAAATACAAATATATACAGAAATCTTTTATATGTATATATGTCGAACCCGGACACCGAGGAGCCGATCCGAGCGTCGAGCGAGGTGACCGCGTTACAAGTTAATAATATATAATAATTATAATATATACGTTATATATCAAAATACAGTTTTTTTTTCAAATATTTAAAAATTACAGCCTTTGTAAATGGGTATAGACAATAGATAACAAAGTTTTGAATACTGTTAAACTAATAAGCATTACTTAAAAAAAAATCACCTAAATATATTTGGTTTATCATATTAAAAATTTAATTATCGAAGGCATAGAGATAATTAAATTTTCACAGTTATAATGTATACGATAAAGTTTATTTAAAAAATCCATTGTTTTAAATATATATAAACTGGATACAATTAAATAAAATATTTTTTAAAACATAAAAATACAAATACAAATTCTCGTATCACATGCAGTATATTATGCGGAAATATAAATCTAATATTATAATATATAATATATATAGTAATTACTAATCTATTAGTAATTACTATATATATTATATATATTATATTTATAATGCTGTTATCACTTAAATATATTTAGTTTATTATATTAAAAACTTAAGTTCATATATATAAACACAAAACAAAATAAACTTTTATACTTTGTATACAATATTTTTAAAAAGACAAAAATAAAAATTCTCGCAAATTAAATCAAAACTTATCACATAAGTCAGTCTTCATAATCGACATTTCAATGTATACTGTTAAACTGTGAACATTACTTAAAAACAAATATTACTTA